GGGAGGCCATTTAAGATGGAAGGTGCCGAGGGTTGCCCACCAGTCTTTGTAGTCTAGTGTCTGATGCCCCAAATTGACCGCGCGCGCTACGTGCACAATCTCGAACTCGTCAAAGAACCGTACCTTGCAGATGAGTAGTCTCTCGCTCGCGTGAAGTACCCGAACGTCAGATCGCTTGAAACACCTCGGTCGTGTAGGGCCAGGACCGCGCGGCTGGGCTGCATCTAGAAGAAGGGCGCCTCCGAGCTTTTTCTTATCGCCAGTCCCCACAACCAAGTACCCGTCTAAAACTGTAGGCGTTGCTGGTGCAGGCGCCTCTTGACATCCAACAAGTTGGAGCCCCTGATCCCGGAATTGGCATCGCAGATGCTGAGCTCGGACAGGTTGGCCAGGCACCCCTGCGTCTCCCATCGCAGCTCGCTGGCAGTTGAAGGTGGCCGCTTTCAAGTTCAGCTGGTAAGTTCGTGAAATCGTAGCCGGCTTGGCTTCGTCGTGAAAGGCCACCGTCTGAACCTCGGGCTTGGCGAACAGGCCGTGCTGGTCGGCAGGCGGGTGCGCATGTCGATCGGGGCGGTGGGGGTCGCGAAGACAACCCCCATGTAAGCCTACCTCATGCTGCGTGTTCTGAATAATCGCCCGCGGTAAATCTGACGGTGGTCGAACACTCGCGCTTTTTGCAATCGCATCGCACAGCTCGTTCCACGGGCTGCCCTCGCGGCCTCCAGCGTGCGCGACCTTGATAAGACGTGCTCTGGAAACCTCCGAGAACGCGTGCGCAGTGAGCTCAGACAAGCTGTCTCGCTGCGAAAAGCCTGGCGCTGTAGTCGTCAGAGCGGGGAGGCAGTCGCAGATAATTTCCAATGGGATCTGCCAGGATATCAGCAGGGAGCAAAGGATCACCCACCACAAACCCGCCGTCTCGGCAGCGACGCCGCAGATAAAGCTATCGGGAATGTGGAAGTTCACGCAGCCTCTCAAGTACGACCTGAAAAAACGTCGAAGCACTCCGACTCCAAACTGCCCGATATCACTATACAAGCCCACGCGCTCTGGCCGGGGTCGTCGCCCCAGTGCGAACCGTCGCAGAAGATGGAGCAGCGGTCCGCTGGCGACGAATGCGGCGCCGCAAAGCAGAGGGCCAGAGAGGCATGCTGGCGCAGAACCAATCCAGCAATATCACGCCGACGCCTGATGTGCCAGCCATGTTGGGCATGCAATGCAAGGGCTGGCGAGGGGGCGCCGCAGCTGGCGATCGGCGCGGCAAAATCACTTAGCTCATCATCCTGACCACGTCGCTCGACAGATGGAATGGGGGAGAAGGTCGATCGTCTCCGCGCTTGACCCGGCGGAGACGACGACTGGCGAGACTTGCGCGACAGCGCGGGGAGCTGGAAGTGCCTTCGTTGGTAAGTTACTAGGACTGTGAAGATGCCGGACACGCCTCGCCCCAGTCGCTCCAGACAACGGCGGTGTATATACTGCAGGACTGTCCAATGCTTTGCGCCCCCGTGCCCCAGTCGCCCCAGGCACTAGAGGCTGGTGCCCCCCCTTGGGGAACAGATCCTCAGGGCTCGGCAGCGGCGTCATCTTCTTCAGAACTTTCATCGCCTGGTGCTGAAGGGCTGCGCGTCGATGCCCACGGCGCTGGAGAGTCCCCAGGCAGCGTGGCAACCTCCACGCGCGCCCCCGCTGTCCTCGTCGAGCTCACGCTGGCATGCCCAGGCCTCGGTGGAACTTCGCTTGCTCTTGAGGCACTGCGATCGGTGGCTTCAGCAGCCGAAGATTCTTCAACGCCCTCAGTGCCCCCGTGGCCCCCCCGTCACCATGACCGCCATTGAAGCAATACCTTGCCGAACTGCCTGTGCTTGCTCACGTTGCCAATCCTCAAAGTCTTATGCTGCCCTCCACTCGTCTTCCTCCCTGGCGGCTTCCAGCTCAGCTTCAGCTTCGCGCCTCGGATGATCTTGGCAGCCGCCCTCGTCGTCGCAGTGCTGCTGCCAACTTCTCAGCAGAGCCCTGTAAGGGCTGATCTAGCGTAGAGGCTCGTTGAACCGCTGGGCCGGCCCCCGCCTCGACGACGCCCGACACTTCCAAAGAGGCCGCGGCAACAGGGTTTTCCTCTAGCAGATCGCCCTTGTAATCTGGCTTGGGGGAACGACACGCCATGCAATGCTGCTCGCAATATGCTGCAACTCGTCCACATACGTTACATGCAAAAGGGTCAACTGCTACCGCCTGACCTCCAGAAACGCCGATTTCACCCAACCTTCCCGCCTCTAGGTCGATCGACGAAGCCGCCGCCCGTGGCGCGGGCATGTCGTGCTCTGCTGCCGCTTGTGGTGCGGAATAACAACCAATAGACGCATGTGGCGCGCGCTGAATCTGCTCGCCTCGCACATGTTGAAAGTCGACTAGGTCTTGCCTTTCAGCTTCTTCTTCACCGGCCGCCCACTTGTCAACTCGAGCTTGCCCCTCGGCCTCGGCCCGCCGCTGCTGCCCCCGGCGGTCCAGCCACTCTGGGCGCTCGCGAAGATAATCGGCGTAGGCTGCCCCGTCTGCATGCTGCTGAAGCCATTATTCATCCGTTTCGAAAGCCGCCTCGCCCTGCTTCCTGCGCGCCGAAGGCGGCCCCGCAATCGCAGCCGAGGAAGGATCGGGGCACGGATAAGCACGGGTTGGCCGCTGCACCTGCCGAGTAGGCGTCGCCCATGGAACAATGCGCACGTCGCCGAGCATAACGAAAGGCACCCTGGAGGCCTGCCGAGAGCGCTGGCCCATCTATTCCTCCATCTGGTGCTGTTCCCTGCGGTTGTGGAACTGCTGGTGCCGCAACCCCGACTTGGGGTGGCTGCGGTGCAGTCCCTGACGCAGATGCTGCTGCCCCCGCTGCGGTCGCCGCCGTCGAGCTCGATGCGCGCGCTGGAACGGGACCTGCATAGGGGACAATGCCTTCCATAGCCTTCACAGCTTGCTGTGCCACGTTTGTGTCTCCCACTTACGATGCTTATCATCAGCTTCTCGAGCCGCACGCACCGCTTGAGTACTGGCTTCCGGCTGCTCGCTAGCCAACACTGCCCACTTTTGCTGGTACTGCTGGTCGATATTCACTCTTCGGCTTTCCAGCTCCCGGACCGCCTCCTCTTGAAAAGTCTGCGTGTTGGCCATCATCATTGTATCGCTGCGAGCCTGCTGTTCTTGCCGATCGCGGTGGGGATGCTCAGCTTGTGCATTCTGCGTCATCAGAGTCTGCTGGTACTGCTCGAGTTCGCCTCAGAGACGCGCTTCCACTTCTGCTTTCTGCAAGTATGATTGCGGCTGCTGTTGACGATAAAGCGAGAACCGACGCTGCTGTTCCTAGAGCTCTAGCCCGTGATGGTGTGCTGCTGCTGCCCGTACTTGCCGTTCTCTATACTCCACTCGAGCGCCGCGCTGCTGCTGCTGCACGGATTGGACATAGGCGTCACGCAATTCATCGCGCTGCCGAACCTCGTGAAGATGCTGCAGCGCCTCCGATTGTAGCTCTCTCAACTTCGCCATCTGCTGCTGTGTTTCTGCTGCCTCTGCCAACTGCCGAGCCGTAATCGCTGGAGGGGTGGAAGCTGGTGGAATATACCGACTGCGGGGGGCGCTCCGACGGGCGCTGCTGGACCCCACCATCACCCCGAACGGCGGCACGTGCTGCATCTTGGGCTGGACTCTGCCCTCCTGGCTGACTGACGATGCCTCCACCTGGAACTTGTGCTTGTAAATTTGCCGAAGAGTGTCCACGGATATAGTGTCCGTCCACTATGGGGGTCGCCGTGCCTCCTGCTGGGTGCCCTGGTGGTCGCGCCTGGACTGGTGCCGCCACCCTCGGTGCCGCCGAGCTTGGAGGAGGCGGCGGTGGAGGCGGCGGCGGCGGCTCCTCCAACTTTCTGGCATCACGGTAGCGCCCGCACCAAAAGGAGCTGATATCGCCAAGGCTTTGCGTCGGTCGTGTCCAATATCATCAGCTCCTGGTGGCGACCTGTCTTCACCTTGCTTTTGCTTCCTTCACCAAATACTGCCAGTAAAGCGTGGTATGCTGCTCCAACAAGATGTATGTCTCTATCGCGACTTGCTGAAGACGAAGCCCATCCAGCTTATTTGCAGATCTCAAAAACCCATCTCGTGCTTCTTCCCTTGCTGTTCGCCACTGGAGTCTTCATTTCCAGAGCATAAGCTTCAGTATGGCCATCTTCTTCTGCTGAGCGTGAGTGTTGGTCATAGCCTCCTTTGATAACAATATCAGCCGGCGTTTGCAACCTGGACATCACTTCTTCCCCCTGTATTGCCAGTGAACCTTGGCCAGATGGAGGCGGTCGATCTCTCTCTCTCTCTCTCTCTCTATATATATATATATATATATAGGTTGCTCCGCCTAGCGTAGTCCGTGGTGCACATCATCATCTCCTGGATGCAATGCTTGACCTCGTCCTTTAACTTGGCCACATCTTTTGAACGCAAACTTTCATCATGCACTCGCTGACAATGCTGCCGATATGAGATGCCCCGTTTGCGGTTACGACAACGGTCATCACCATGATTCAAATTTCCACAGCCAGTACACTTCCAATTTGGAGCACCTGCGCCACCGCGATCGGCACCAGCTGGTCCACGGCCACCTCCCTTGTGCGCCTGGCGGGCGCTGGGCAGAATGGTGCCCCTCCAGCAGGCGGCGGGCCTTGTCCAGCCGAAGGAGCACTCGCGCAGCTGCTCGAAGTCGCCGAGCTCGGCGATGGGCCGCAGGTGACCTGCGGCGGCGGCAGCGCTTGGGCGTGCCCCCCACCTCGGGGCCGCGGGCCGAAGGCCGCGCTGAGCCGCGCCCTCCCTGCGGGAGGCCCGATGGCGCGGGCGCGCGCGCGCCGCGGACGGGCCCCCCCGAGCAGGAGAGGCACGGCTGATCCCTTCTGCCTCCCCCCCCCCCCCCGCCCGCCCTTGCTCCACCCCCGCCCCCGCTCCCGAGCCCAGGGTCTGGGCGCCTGCGGGGGCCTCTCCTTCGCTGGCGGGACCGGGCTCGCGCCGCTGGTCGCCACGCCGCGCCCCTGCGGCGGCGCGGCGCGGAATCCCTCCAGGAGGCCCTCCAGGAATTCCTGAGCCGGGGGGGGTGGAGATGGGCGGGGGACGTGAGAAGAGGGGGGGGAGAGGGAGAGGTGGAGCAGGGGAGGTGGAGAAGGACGGGGAATGGATGAGGAGGACAGGGGCCAGCGTGGACCCGAAATATGACGCTGTGACTTCTATTACATGAAGCACACATATACATAAACACATGCATAAGCATATACATATACATGTAGACACACATATAAACATACACATACATACACACACAAACATATACATATACATTTACATAGATTTCCCAACCAGTGCTTGCACTGAAGGGGTCCTAGCGGATGTTGGAAGATTAGGCGAAAATTCCCCGCCGACTTTGGTGGCAGGCTGGGTTCCTGGGTTCCCGGGTTCCCGAATTCCTGGCTCCAGGTTCCCAAGTTCCCGGTTCCGTGTTCCGGGCCGATTTCGGGCGGCGAGGTTCCCGGGTTCCCGGGTTCCTGGTCGATCTTCTTATTGATCGGGCTCACTATCGATCTCATTACCGACTTCTCGATCGATCCCACCATCGATCTGACAATCGAGATCACTACCAATATCATAAGCGATCTCACTACAGATCGCATGAGCGATCTCGCGAGCGATCTCACTATCGATTTCACTCTCGGTCTCACGATCGACCTTACAATCGTCCTCACTATCGATGCCACGATCGGTTTCACTATCGATCTCACAATTGATCTCAAGATCCATAGTATCAATGTTCATGTCATCCACCCAGTGGGTTTTTCTCATGTGAAATATATACAAATACATATAGACATAAGCATGTACATACACATGTACATACACATACGCATACACATACATACCTACACATCTACATCCGCACATACATAGATATATGTATACATATATACGTACATAAATCAATACATGCATCGATCCATATATATATATATATATAGATGCAAGAGTGCAGTGGCGCTTCGCGCCATGCACCTTGGTCCTGGAAGTGTGGCACGCAAGCGAAATTGCAGGAAGGTCAAGCCGACAATTTAGCGATAACTCCTTGTTGCCTTTTCCGGCATCCCCGCTATAATAATGTGATTCGTTATCCTTCCTCCATGCTTCTTTTCCCCCTTTTCGCCATACCCTGCGCATTCTCCCCATCGTCCTCAGCTTTTTATTGCGGAGGCTCCTCCTTGGAGAGCCTCTGGGGGTCTCACAAAAGTTGTATCAGGCTTTCTTAATGCTTTCAGGAGACCTCCTGGGTGTATTCTGGGGGCCTGTGGGGGCTTCCTCGGGCCACCCTGCCTCCAACCGCGGTCTCCCTGAACGACCGGGTCACGATTTGGAATGCTTCGGAGGGTGTCTAGGGGCCATCTTGGGCCGCCATGGGGCTCTCTGAGGGCCATCTTGGACCCGTGTTGTGCCGTGTTGGGGCTCTCTCGGACTGCCTGGAAGCCCTTTCGGATGGTTGTGGGGCGATTTTGGAGCCTCCGGGGCGGCTTCGGACGCCCAGAAGACCGCCGTCTTGGAGCGTCGGGAAGCCGAAAAGAGGAGAACCCCAAAATTCACCAAAAACCCACAGAAAACTAATGAGTTTTGCCTCTTGGGGCCTTCTTGGGAGTGCTATTGGAGGCCTCTTTGGGGCCGTCCTGGAGGCCTCTTGGACCATCTTGAGGTCACGTCGGTCACTCTTGGAGCGCTCTTGTGCTGTCTTGGGGGTCTCTGGGACGTCTCCGATGACCCCCCTGATCGCCCCAGGTGTGCTGCGAAGGCTTGTCAAAACGCCCTGCAAGGCCCGTGGGGCCGCTTCGAGGCCCGTCCGGAGGGTTCCAAAGCCCCAGATCCCGGGAGTCCGGTTTTTTTTTTGGGGGGGGGGACGGGTTTTCCCCCCGCCCGGGCTTATAAAAATATAGGAAGAGGAATATGTATGTATGGCTTGAAGTATGTGTACATGCATGTATACATGTGCTCGCCCCCCGACCCAGTATCATACTTTTGGCTTTCGCTCCCATCTCCAATCTCCAATATCATCCTCCTCCTCCTCTCCTCCTCCTCCTTTTGCTCCCCTTCCTCCTCCCCCCTCACCTGTTCTTCCTCCTCATCCTCTCCTCCTCCTCCTCCTCTTCCTCCTCCTCCGCCTCCTCCTCCTCCTCCTCCCCCTGCTCCTCCTCTTCCTCCTCCTCCTCCTCCTCCTCCTCCTCCTCCCTCGCCTGCTCCTCTTCATCTCCCTCCTCCTCCTCATCCTCCTCCTCCTCCCTGGCCTGCTCCTCTTCATCCTCCTCCCCCACGGCCCCTGCTCTCATCGCACTCTCCTTCTTAACCGCGCTTTCACGTTCTAGCCGCTTTCTAGCCGCGTCGCGATCAAGTCATGGGGTCTCCCAAGAAAGGAGCCCTCGCTTGCCGGCGCATGCTGGAAGCGAACAAAGAACGCGCCGCGAGGAAGCGCGTGGCTGCTTTCCTTAAGCAGCCACGCGCGCGCCGCATCACGGCGGCGGGATCGCGCGCGGCCGCTGGACGGCTGCGCGCGGCAGCGGCGGAGTTCCGCAAACAGGCCGACGAGTTTCGGACCACTCGGGGCAAAATCGTCTCCCAATATGGCGAAAGTCACGTAGCGTGGGAACTTGCGCGATCCTGCAGGAGGCGCTCAAACCAGCACATGCGGGCCGCCAGCAAAGAGAAACAACAGAACAAGTACTCAGCAGAGCACAACAAACCGGCTTGGCAGGGGGCCAGAATGTGGGAAAAGGCCTACCTCGAGAAGCACGGGCGTGCAACCTGAAACTCGCGAATGCGCTGCTGCGCGCCGTGCCGTGTGCCGTGCAGTGCACGTGCCGCGATGTGCCGTCAGGTGCCGTGTTGGGTGCCGTGGGTCGCGTCGGGTGTTGCGTCGTGCCGTGTGCCATGCGCGCTGCGCGAGTCTCGGAGTGCGCGCTCCGCCAGGAGAAAGGGAGACGCGAGGAGGACGCGAAAAAAAAGGGCAAGGAGCTCATCGATAAGAACCCAGAGCTCCACAAGACAAGGGGCACCTTGACCAAGGTGCGGAAGACGCTACGCTGGACGGAGGCCCGGCTCAACGATGTAAACAACAGCTGAGGCTGAAGCGGCGCGAAAACCCACCCTTTGGGGTGATTTTTTCGGGCATCCGACAAACGGATGCCCCCCCACGCAGCAACCTGCGACCTTTTCCGGGTATCCGTATTTCGGATGCCCCCAAGAAGAGGAGAACGACCTACCAGAAGACTTCCCTCCACCTTACTCTCTTTCCTCCTGACCTGCGCGCGCACGACGTCTCCCGATAATCATAACAAGGGGGCACGGGGCAGTCGCGGCTGCGGCCAGAGAGAGGGCGAGAGAGAGAGAGAGAGTGTGAGAGAGAGAGGAGAGAGAAACAACAAGAGGGAGGACTGGGGGGGGGGCATTGAAGAACGCTGAGTTTCCCAGCTGTTCCCACACGCTGACCGTTGAACAACGTTTTGTTTTCCAGCTTTCCCAAGGTGCTCCAGACACTGACCGTGGAAAAACGCTGTGTTTTCCAGGTTTCCCAAGTTTTCCAAGTTTCCCCAGGCACTGACAGTTGAACAGCGGTGTGTTTTTCAGGTTTTCCTAATTTCCAAAGCTTTCCCAAAAACTGGCACTTGAAAAACGCGGTGTTTCCAATTTTCCAAATTTTCCCGGAGACTGACAGTTGCAAAACGCTGTGTGTTTCCATGCTTTCCCGATTATCCAGGTTTCTCCATACACTGAACGTTTTATTCCAGCGGTCAATCATCGGGAAATCCAGGAAAATCTGGAAAACCTAGAAAACGCAACGTTTTGCAACTGTCAGCGTCTGGAAAAACCTGGAAAATCTGGGAACCTGGGAAACACAGCGTTTTACAACTGTCGGTGTCTGGAAAAATATTGGAAATCTGGAATACCTGGAAGACATAGTGTTTTTCAACTGCCAGTGTCGTGGGAAAACTTGGAAAATCAGGAAAACCTGGAAAACACACCGTTTTCCAACGGTCAGTGCCTGGAGCATCTAGGAAAAAGCTTGACAATCTGGAAAGCATACCGTTTTGCAACGATCAGCAAGAGAGAGAGAGAGAGAGAGAGAGGGATGAAGAGAGAGTGCCAGATGGAGGGAACTATAGAGAGAGAGGAAGAATACGGAGAAGAAGCAGAGAAGACAGAGCAGACGCAGACGAGGACAAGAAGAAAAAGGAAATAGGTATGATACTGGAGGGAGGCGACCATCTACTAGAACCATCGCGCGCGCTTCGCGCGCGCTCAAGTTCTAGCTAGGGTCATGATCGTCGTCATCATTGTCATCCTCATCTCCGTCATCTTCATCCTCATCGTCATGGTCATGGTCACCTTCACCATCACAATAGTCATTATTATCACCATTATCATCAGCATCGTGATCACCATCGCAATCATCATCATCGTGCTTGTCAGTATCAGCATCCACATCATCAACATCTTGTTGGTCGTCGTCGGCGTCGTCGTCGGCATAGTCATCGTCATCATCGTCAGCGTAATCGCCGTCATCATCCCCGGTCTACTGCCGTCCCCTTACCCTCCTCCTCTTCTCGTTCTCCCTCTTCCCATGATCTCATACTCATCCTTTTCCTCGTCGGCGTCTCCCTGAAAGGGATCCCTGTTCCTTCACCTCCTCCTCCTCCTCCTCCTCTTCGTCCTCCTCCTCCTCCTCCTCCTCCTCCTCCTCCCTGTCTTCCCCGCTCTTCGGCGTGTCCCTCCTTGTGTTTCTTCACCTACTTCACCTCCTTCCTCCTCTCGAGTCCTCTTAATCCTGCGCTCCCTTCCCTCCTCGTCCTCAGCATCCCTCCCCGAGCCAGAGAATCAGAAAACAAGATAACCTACACGACCACCCTTCGGGTGAAAAGGAGGTTGTGGGGGGGGGGAGAGTGGTGGGAACCAACATCTGACTCAATGAATCTCACGATCGATCTCCCTCAACGGAACACCACGGGACACCACGGGACACTTGTCGATCTCACTACCGATCTCACTATCGATCTCACTC